GGCTTGGGGAACATGTGTCGCCCTGTTGATGGCGACGATTTTGCATGGCCAAGCAGCCTGACTGGTGCAGCGCAGGTGCAGCAGCAGCACACAGGCACCTGGTGGTTGAAGAGCAGCATGTAGGGCTCCAGATCGGTGCCGGACTCAAGGCTGCCCTGCAGCTCAGCAACCTTGCCATCCAGGACGAAGAACTGCAGCAAAGGGGAGGCAGGCCAGGGTGGGGCGACAGGGAGGGGCATGCTGGTACCGCTTGGGCGGTCCAAGGTGCACACTCCCTGGGCAGGGGCCCCTTACCTGCAGCTCCAGCCCGGCCAGCAGGCTGACATCGTGCACCGGACGCTCGGTCTCCTCATCAATGACCTGGACCCTGTTTGGTCGGGAGGGGCACAGGGAGGATCTCAAGGGCTGATCTCGCAGCCCCAGATGCCATGCTCGCACGCCTGCTTCGCAGGTCGACCTCGGCTCTGGGGCAAGTGTGAAACCATGACGAGGACACACTCCGTCCTGCCCATCCCCCCACAAACCCACTTGATGTTGGCGTTGCAGGTGGCCTTCAGCACATCCCCCGACAGATACTTCCTGGCAAAGGTCCGGTTGCACCGCCTGTACTGGCTCTGCCGGCAAAGCTCGCAGGCCGGATCGGAGCAGGAATGGTACCTGTGGGGGTGATGGAGGGGAATTTATGCGTCGCGAAAGTAATGCACGGCCTTTGGGGGGAGGATGGGGCCACCCGAACCTACAGGCAGTCGTGGGTGAACTGAAGGCGAAGCCGTGGACTCCGGGGAGTCCGTCTGCCATCCGCGAAATATTTGCAAAGGAGTTTTGCAGTGACGTCCCGGATGTCACCCGGATCGCAGCCCACACAGCGGGCGAGGTCTGGCTGTGAGTTGAAGTCGGCGATGTAGGCTCGTGCGAAGCGCTGCGGGGAAGGGGGTGGCGGTGGCGGGGCAGGTGAACCTGCGGTCCGGGGGGAGGCGCAACGGGGATGCGAGGCAGCGCACTGTTACGCCGCGGAATATGCACACCTCTAATGCATTTCTAGGGCAGGACTCGAGCTCTGGAGGGGGAACGAGCCAGCCCATGCGGCTTCACGTCGATCCGTACCGCCCCTGTCAGCGCTGGCTATGGGGCTCGGTAGAGTACGGAAACTTTCTTTGCGCTCTCCATCCTGTATAATCAAGGACGCCTGGGGGTCATTATATCGCTCGATGGCTGCTTAACCGTCATGCGTCGGTGTTCGAATAACCGATCGGCGCTACAGGAAGGTGGAGCGACCGAATACGATGGATCTTGGGTACCGCGGGGAGAATCGGCGGTACCTTGCATCTTGCAACACCGTCAGCAAAGCAAAATTATTGGTCCCGGCATTTGCAATGGAAATAGCACCTCACGCTAGCACCGAGTCCCAACCCACCCAGCAGAGCCACAACCGAATGCTCAGAGTTTTTAGAACCTTTGTAGTGTGAGGTGCAGCCATGTCCCTGGCCACCCTGCTGAAGGGCAGGGTCGCTCTCGTTACGGGTGAGAGCTGGCACCGCTTGATCACCGCGCCCCGTACCTGACACCTCTTCCCCTCCACAATCTGAAACAATGTTCATCCCTCTGGAAATGTGCAGGGTCCACGACCGGAATTGGCTACGGCATCATCAAGACGCTATCGGCCGCGGGGGCGACGACCATCATGCATGGCCTGCTCCCGGAAGCTGAGCTGAGGGCCAAGGCCGATGCGCTGGCAGAGGAGACCGGGAACTCGGTCACCTACCAAACGGCAAACCTAATGGATGCGGCCGAGATCAGGTGCGTGGCCCGGTGTGGGTCGCGCGGCGCCCCGGAACTGGGTCCCCTGGTCTGACCGGCCCCTGCCCTACCCCGTCGCGGCATCCTGCAGGCGCATGGTCGGGCAGGTGCAGGACCGCCACGGCAAGCTGGACATCCTGGTAAACAACGCCGGCATCCAGTTTGTGTCCTCGGTCCAGGACTTTCCCGAGGACAAGTGGGACGCCATCGTCCAGGTGGTCATGAACGCCCCCTTCCACGCCTCCAAGGCTGCGCTGCCGGCCATGCTGGAGCAGGGCTGGGGCCGCATTGTTAACACCGGTATGGTCCTATCATGTGCCGGCGTGGGGCAGCTTGGATGTTGTATTCTTGTGTGTAGGGGGAGGGGGGGGGGGGAGGGCAGTTTTGGGTGAAGTGTTTGTGGGCTGATGCTCCCCTGTCCAGCCCCCCACCTGCATTAGAAGACTACACCAACCCGCCGACTCAGACACCTCCCTTATTACAAAATATCCACACCACCCACCCACCACCCACCCAGGCTCCATGCACGCCACGGTGGCCAGCCCCTTCAAGAGCGCGTACAACGCCGCCAAGCACGGCGTGGCGGGGTTCACCAAGACCCTGGCCCTGGAGGTGGCCACCTCCGGCATCACGGTCAACGCGGTCTGCCCCGGGTACGTCATGACGGAGCTGATCGAGAAGCAGCTGGCCAACCAGGCCGCAACGCGGGGCATCCCCGTGGAGAAGGTCATCTCTGATGTCCTGCTTGTTGACCAGCCCATCAAACGCTTTGTCCGCGCGGAGGAGATTGGCGCCATGGTGCGCCACCTCTGCACCGACGACGCGGGGGCCATCACGGGGGCCTGCCTGGCCGTGGACGGGGGCTGGACAGCGCGCTGAGGGGGCGCGTGCGGGCATGAGGGGGCGCCAGCCATTGCAGGTTGGCCCCCCTGTGGTGGAGTGGGAGGCTGTGCTCCCAGGCTTTGTGGACTGTGCAGTGGCTTGGCCTGGCCACCAACCAGCCCCTGTAATCATTTGTGAAGGTCGACACTGGCACTCCGTTGCATGGCCGGTGCATGCGCGGCAGGGAAGACGGATGGGGGTGGATTCTGCACCAGGTGGTCTGATCACGGCTGAGGTCCGAGGCGCGAATCCCGGGAGGGCCATCGTCGCGGTCGCCACCGCTCACACCTGCGACATCGGCAGTACATGAGTGATCTGAGGTATGATGCCCCATCTCAGGACTGCAGCTGATCGCGAGGAGCTTGCCACCTGGGCTCGCCCTTGGCATGAGGCCGAGCTGAAGGAGACGCGGTAGACGCCCGCTAGGGCTTCAGCATGGTGAGCTGGGGCGAACTCGTCTTCTTGCACGGCTGACCATGCCCCTAGAGCATTATCGTTTGCTCTGCCTGCGTCCTGCCGGAGGGTAGCTGTGGGTCGCTCCCCTACGAGCATGAGGCAGGCATGTTGGAAAGGCACACCGCCTTTCCCCACTCACCCGATCCCACCTCGCAGACTGGGGGCGGCAGCAATGCCTACACCATCGAGGGCCTCAGTGACAGCCTGTTGGAGGTAGGTGAGCTGCTCGGCAAACCCCAGTCCGTGTATGTGCTTGAGCATACGGCCTGGTGGTGTGCTGCCCCCTGGCCTGCGCACACTCCCCTAGCCCCCAAGGAACACTCCTTACACTCCCTCACCCCTCGTGCACAGACCCCTACGTTCACCATAGCCCTGGTGTACCTCTTCTTCCTGGTTCTCTCTGTCTCTTTTGAATTGGTATGTACTTGCGTGGAACTTGAAAAGGGAGAGAGGGGGGGGTTTCCGGGGAGTGCGCCTGGTGTTTGGTCTCAGCCCCGTGTTGGTAGGAGTCTTCCCAGCATGGAGCTTTTGACTGCCAGGGCATGAGCAAGACTGTGCATCCCGCCAGACTCCCCGAGCTTTCCCCCCCTTCCACATCATGCGCTCACACTGGCACATCCCTGCTCCCCCAACCCCAACCAACCACAGCTGGTCAACTATGCTGACAGACTGCTGGACCGAAAGAACCGACCTGGTCTCAAGACCGGGCTGCGGAAGCTGATCCTGGAGCTGACCCTTCTGGGGTTTGTGTCGCTCATTCTCACCCTCCTCCAGGGCAGCCTCACGAAGATATGCGGTGAGGGGTATGGAGGTGGAGGGGAAAGGCTATGGATCCATTGCATACCCTGGACACCTCCCTGCACGGTGAGTCCTCATGAACCAGGGTGCGTGGATATGCCATACCCACACCCCTCCAGCAGCACGTCTCCAATCCCCCTTTCCTGACAGTCACCTACAGCCCCGGCCTGGCAAGCTGGACGCTGCTGGAGAATGTCAACGGCTGCCCCTGCTGCCTGAGCCCCATGCACCTCTCCCTCTGCGCCCAGGTGCACAGGCCTTGATGGAGGGAAGGTGTCTGACTCCGTTTCTTGGATGCCGACACCATCATGGGCGCCGCAGCCGGATGTTCACCTGTCATGATGCCATGCGGCTCTGCCTCCCCATTCTCAACATTGACCCCTGACTCCACACACTAAACGAAACCAATCTCTGAGCTTCCCAGATGGACCACAACTGCCTCTTCAACGCGTCGTCCTCGGATCCTTACTGCGACTGTGCAAACCCGGATGCCCTGGAGAACTACATCACCAGGACCGAGGAGATCAACAGCAGCACCTGCGTGGTGAGTGATTTGTGCGATGCGCACCACCTGTTATGGGGGGGGCGGGGGGGGGGAAGGGGGTATGCATGCATCCTGCCGCGAAGGCCCACCCTGGTGGGTGGAAGGACATGGATGGCTGGGCGGTGGGAAGGGTGGCATGTCCCTCCGGCAAGTGCCTGCCTGTCCATACCTTCTTATGAGGCACGGCCTCGCGGGCAGGTGGAGTGGCTGTC